AAACACCTCAAGGAGGGTGAGTTAGGTAAAGTTATTAAAACAGTAGTAATTAGTGTTAAGCGTTTATTACAGATCAACTTACATTAGTCGACTAATTCACTTGCTCTGTGGCCACCCAATCGCGCACCTTTTACAAAATATTACACAATTCCAGGTCTAAAATCTGTTTTTTCAAGTCCTAAGTGTCTGTTTGTCTGTATTAGTAGTAACTTGTGTGTATTAGTGTATATTGTCGATGAATTTCAACAGTATTTAAATTTAAATTTTTGGATATTTAATTCCATGGACTTTTTGTGTTTTGGATCTTCAAAGTTTTGGACCTTTCGGTTTGGACCTTTTGTTTTGTATCTTTTGTCCCTATACCGCAGAATGGTATGCCAAAATCACGTTTACGTTCAAGTAATTAAAGGGGGATTCCTCATGAGAAGTGCCCAAATTATGTCAAAATTCAACATTTTTTAATTTTATTAGGCACTCCGCGGTTGCAAGTATAGGGCCGTCCCAAGTGGTCGAAAACAGAAAACCAAAAGAACTTTTACAGTTGAGGTACTTATCTAGTAGTTATACCTTAAAAAATCAAAATTTAAAAAATGACACTAATTTAAACGAAAAAATTAAAAAATGACTTTTTTCCCGCCATTTTTTATTTAAAAAAAGTATTAAAAAATGTCTTTTTTTTAATTTTGTAGGTATACCCAGTAAGGAACATATTTTTTATTCAATGCATTTGTCCAAAAACATGCACTGACATTTATAATGATATCTCGCGAACCGAATAAGATTTTTTAACGTTTTTAGTCTTAAATTAAAGACAAGACTTGAAGGATGACATAACTATAAGTTTTAAATTTTGTCTGAAATTTTTAAAAAATATGCCAGAGTTTAAAAAATTGTCAAAAAACTTTCATTTTTTAATTTCTTTTTCAAACTTGTCGATTGTTAAAATCTTAGTGTAATTTTCTAAAATTTCGAAATGGATATCATTTAACATAGAATATTAAAGGCTTTCAAACGGTAGATTTGCTAAGTTTCTGACATTAGTTTTTACAGGAAGATCATAATTTTATTGGTATGATTGATTGGTATGTTTTTGGGCCATGCGCGTGGAGCCACGCCGACGGTTGTGTGAAATTTTTAGATTTAATATGGTTTAAGTAAGTGTGGGGCATGATATGCCCAAACACATACTAAGAACCTAAAGTTCTGAACGTTCAAATGAACGAAATTTATTTATTTCTTCTCCAAATTAAATTTTTATTGCAATTATTTTGCGTTACTATCCAAAAAATTAATTACTGAGTTTCTAAACGTAAATATTTCAGTTTTTAAATTTGTTTGTGATAAGTAATTTATTAAAATATCTTCAATAAAAAATATTTCGTTCATTTGAACGTTCAAAACTTGGGGATCATCACATACTCGCTGGGTTAAGAGATACAGATTTTTGAAAAATTACGTTTTTTACGTAATTTTTTTTTTTTGAAATGCTTATAACTCAGCCAAAAATTGATTAAATTGGACGTTCTTTTAAGGAAAATTTTTTTTTCATCACCCGTAGTTTTTAATAAAAATATAAAATTTTTTTTTTAAATTTACGATAAGACTTAAAAATTTTTTTAAAAAATTTAATTTTTAATAATGTGTGTATCTATCAATTTTTTGAAAAAAAATTTTGTAAGAAACTATTACTAAATTTCACAATTTTTAAGTCTTGTCTGATTGTGGGCAAACGATGTGATCTATCTATTTTTAAATTTTTATACCATTTTCACTGCGTATATAAAAATTAAAAATTTCGAAATAAATAGATCCTATCGTTTGCCCACAATTAGACAAGGCTTAAAAATTCTTGATTTAATACTAGTTTCTAACAAACAAATTTTGAAAAAAATTGATCGATACATACATTGTTAAAAATAAAATTAAAAAAAAATTTCTTTAAATCTTATCGTAAATTTAAAGAAAAAAGTAAATTTTTATTAAAAACTACGTGTGAAAACAAAAATTTTTACTAAAAGAACGTCCAAGTTGATCAATTTTTGTCTGAGTTATAAGTATTTCAAAAAAAAAATTACGTAAAAATGTAATTTTCCAAAAAAACTGTATCTCCTAAATCGCTTTATAAAAAAATTTTAAAAAAATCATGGTAGCTCAATTTAATAAGCAATGAAAGAAAAAAATATTTGAAAAGAATTTGAGATGTAAAAGCAAAATGATTTCCGACTTGGCGTGGAATGCCCTGTATGCATTATGTAAAAGTAATTAAATAATAACAATTATTTGTTTAAATCATCAATTTTAAAAGTAATAGTAATTATTATTTAAATAGTTTGTACTGGAAGCATCTAGAAAGATGCAATTTTTTCTAATATGAACATTTATCAAGCCGATTGGTTTTTTAAAATTGTGAAAAAGCTGTATTTCTCTAGGTGTACAGAGATAGACGTTAGTAATTAACAATAATAAATTATTTGAGCAAATAGAGAGTGCATACAACATAAACCCTGGAAGGAGTAATTGGGTGTTTAGATACCCCACGCAATATTCAAAGTACTGGCTTAACAAGTAATAATTTTTTCTCAGTCAAATTTAAATTGTACATTTAATATAACATTCTTTTAAAACTTTTCAGATTTTTGTTAAGTTACCTAAAATTTTATTTAAGTTGGTGCAAAATTATAGCAAATATTACAAAATTAATATGGACTGATCCAGGATAAAATTTGTCTCCCATAAATTTGTACGGAATAACGTAGGAATACGTATGAATACCTAATTTTTCCAAAACCTTAATTCGTAATTTGTAAAAAGGCACACATCAAATTCAGATTATTATTAAGCGCCATTTAGTCAGTCAGCTTTCTCGCCTACAGAAGAAGCAACAGAGTCATGGGGTCAAGGTTTTAGAAGTATTTTCCATTAGTCATTGACGTTTTAGTGCGTTCTTCAATACAATGAAGTTATTCTCGCCTTCTTCAGTTGCTGATCACTGCAACTTCATTATATATACCCTTCTTGATAAATGTCAAAACTAAATACTGTTCGAGATTAATGTCGTTTATGTATGGAATGAGTATAAGAGGCCTTCTCCGTCAATGAACAATGTTGTAATTTTCTTGGTTACGTGTGCAATTAAAGACTAAAAGAACGTAACAAGAGTTAAAAGAAGTCTGATTAAAGTGTATAAAATACATAGTTGTACTTACATACTTGTAAATCGTTATGTAATCACTCTGACTTTTGACACTTTTAACCTTCACACTCAAAGAAAAAAAATAGATTTTATAAAACTTTTTATTTTATAAAAATAATTGGACAATTAAAAACTTAAACATTTTAGTAAAGCATATGGAAAATTCAGTCCGAAAAGCGCCGAAAGTTTCTTGAATGTTTCCCCCCTGTAACAAAATTGAGGCAACATTGCCTTTCTTAAAAAAGTGGAACGCCATTTGTTGGAAAGTATTAAAAATAGCCGATTTCAACGTTCGAAAAAACATTAAAAATCTCAAGGACTGGAATTTTTATTATGATATTCTGATTCCCTGCTATCTAAAATATAGAAATATTGCTTTGTAGTAATTAAAAGTAGTGTACACACTTTACAAAACAAGTTTGATTAGGTACACTTTGTACGAAATCTGCCAAAATACAATAAGTAAGCATCTTCTAAATTACAATAAGCAAAAAGATTGTTGAGATTCATAAAGAAACGCGGTTGTAAAATAAAAAATTGGAAAGTAATGTAATGACATGCTGCAAAAAGTGTTTACAGACAGCTAGTGGCCAGTAGATTTTGTAAAAAGTCTTTGTTCAGAAAAAAATTTATTGAAAATTGTTTTTTTTATCTATTTCACGTCATTTAAATATGTGTACGACCCCTAACCTATAAATTTCAGAGACCTTTAAACATTATCGTTATTTAAGCTAAAGATTTTTATATAATTTTTATTTTCATGATCAGACGAATAAAATGACAAAATATACATCTTGGACTATTTAAAATTGACACTGATCAACAACTTTTACATCTTATTATTTATATTATCGTTATATGCCTACCCTGTAAAAAAAATGTATTGGGAGGTACGGGATTCCGTATTGCAAGTGCCAACCTGCCAATGCGGTATTCGCGAATTACCGCATTGAGTGTCCTGGTGAATACGGAAATCAAGGGGTCCCAATGCGGTGCCAGTTTTAAGCTTTAAAAAAACGAAAATACGTGACAGGAGGAAATAATTAGTGTCAGTGCAGAAATATGCGAGTTAAAGGAATGAGAAAATAATAATAGTGAGTGTAAAAATGAAACTTAAAGAAAAAAAGGTAAGTTGAACTGTCAAATATGAGTCCAATGCGGCGTAGGCTGCTTTCAATACGGTACACAATCGGTACATAGTGCAAGTCGCCAGTAGAGGGCAGAAGCAAGCAGAGCGAATCGAGCGAACACAGTGGCCCAGCTGACATATGATTTGCATTACATTACTTTCCAATTTTTTATTTTATAACCACGTTTCTGCATAAATCTAAACAATATTTTCGATTATTGTAATTTAGAAGATGCTTACCAATTGTACGTTGGCAGATTTAGTTAAAGGGTCTGTGTACGGAGACAAATGTGTTAGAAAATGTTTGTTTACCTATTTCACGCCATTCAAACCAGTCAAAGTTGCTTTTGCTGTGGCGCATTGAAATCAGCCTATGCCGCATTGGGCCCATATTTGACAGTTCAACTTACCTTTTTTCTTAAAATTTCATTTTTACTCTCACTATTATTATTTTCTCATTCCTTTAACTCGCATATTTCTCCACTGACACTAATTATTTCTTCCTGTCACGTATTTTCGTTTTTTTAAAGCTTAAAACTGGCACCGCATTGGGACCCCTTGATTTCCGTATTCACCACGACACCCAATGCGGTAATTCGCGAATACCGCATTGGCAGGTTGGCACTCGCAATGCGGAATCCCGTACCTCCCAATACTTTTTTTTTACAGGGATAGCAAAAAAATATTTAGAATAGTAGATAGTATTGGTGGTAACTTAGGCTGAATACGGTTTCGTGTGAAAACCTTATTAGGAGGTTACGGTGAATACATTTTTTTAAAGCTTTTGATTTAAAGATTTCTAAACAAAGTTGAGAATATTTATGAATAGCATGAGTGCCCTGAAGTATAAAAATGTCGATTGCGAGAAGGAAATACGAAATTTTGTGAAAATATTAGAAAACGACATGTGACAGGTAGACTGTAAAATGTTGATCGATTAATTAAGTATATGGTAATTACCATATACTTCTAATCTATAATATGTTTTAAGCACAGTAAAGTATATGGTAATCGATCAACATTTTACAATCTACCTGTCACATTTCGTTTTCTAATATTTTCTCAAAATGTCGTATTTTCTTCTCGCAATAGGCATTTTTATACTGCATGTCACTTACGCTCTTCATAAATATTATGAACTTTGCTTAGAAATCTTTAATTCAAAAGTTTTAAAACATGTATTCACAATAAGCAAAATGTATTCACCGTAACCTCCTAATACGGTTTTCACACTAAACCATATTCCACTTAAGTTACCACCACATATAAAAACTTTAAAAGATAATAATAAACAATATTTAATTTATTTTCCTATTAACATTAATAAATATAATAATACTACATTAATTATATAACATTAGTGCCGTCATTGACATGTTTTACAAAAAACACCCGAAGAATAATTAAACGCACCTTAAAGAGTTAATAATAACAACAAATTTGTAATCTTAAAATGGTTAAGGCGCTTACTTTAGACTTAATCATAAATCTAACATTAATTTAATAAAGTATGATACATTCAATATATAATAAATTTATAAGTTATTTTGAATTATATATACATTCTATTAAATAATATTCAATATTAAATATAGGAGATTGTCTAATTATAATAATTTACATCAGTTAAAACATTGCTTATGTAAAAAAAAAGTTTAATCAAAAATATAGTTTTATGAAATAATATGAAGGAACCAATTTCCGAGACGTATCCATTTGTCGATCATAATGTCATCCAGTGCTTTGCAGTGCACACTTGATAAACATTAGAATAATCTAAAAATACTTCTTTCTCGATTATTGATTCCTTTATCCTATATATATCTGCTTTGCTTCAAAATTTTTTACACGAAGTTGGGACACTTTTTCACTCTATTCCGTACTTTGAAATATTTTAACACTTCATTTATAACAGTAAAAGCAAAATAACATGCTCACGAAAAGTGTTTGAATCTGATTCTGATTAGAATGTTATCTTAAACGTTTTTTCTTGATGTCTCATCTCATGACTTAAATATTTGTTGGCACTTCAATCTGCAATCAGGCAATTTATTTACCTGGAAACTTGTGAATACCTAAATCGACGTTTCTCTCTCTTGCCAGTGAATCAAATTTAAATCATTGGATTCATAAATTGAGCAGTCACTCATCTCGTTTCTGAAATACAGTTAAAGTGTCAGATTGATTTTACAAGATTTCTAAATAAATCCTATTATCAGAATGTTTACAGCAAACTTTACATCTCTGTACAAATTTTAATGAAAATTTACTTAATAAGCTTTGAAAATATTCTTGGTAATATCATAGTTTGAATTTACTACTCCTTTCTACAATGTGCATTTCTTAACAAAATAATAATATTATAATTTACAGAAATTTTACGTTTTAAATTTAGTGTGTTTTTTAATACAGGCTTAAAAGAGGGGACATTTTTATATAAACATACAGTTTGCTGCAAACTATCTCCAAAATATTGTACAATGTAAGTTGTATCCAAATGATTCATCACAATTTATTATTTTCTGGTTTTAAATTGTTCTGTATCGTATAAATATTGAATGATTATTATAGATTGAGAAAGATTAAAATTACACTGAGGGAATAAAATTTACCCCCACAGCACCGAAACTTTCCTAAAAATTTATTAAATATTTACTTGCAATATTCGGAATATTTAATTGCAATGTTTATTGAAAGTTGTGTACAGATTTAAATGTCCCGATTAAATAAATGTTTAGCGCGAAGCTTTCCTGAACATTTCAATAAAATCTTCGCATAATTATAATTATAATTATGCGAAGATGTAATTTCATGTTCAGGAAATGTTCAGGAAAGCTTCGCGCTAAACATTTATTTAATCGGGACATTTAAATCTTTACACAATTTTCACTAAACTTTTCAGTTAAATATGACGAATATTGCAAGTAAATATTTAATAAATTTTTAGGAAAGTTTCGGTGCTGTGAAGGTATATTATATCTAATATTAAATAAATAAATTAAAATCAAAATAATTACAGGAATGGATCCTTTAAAATAAAAGCTCTAGGTTGAACTCGTTGTAATCTGTCACCATTATCACATAATAATCTCGCCATTGTGGTTTTTTTAATTTCCTCTACTTGCTTTGGTAGGAAGGAACCTGGAGTGTGTTCATTTTCATACCAGTATCTGTCCCCTTAAATGAGAAGCAAAATATTAATTTAAAACATGAAATTATATTATATTATTATACATTATACGCATAATAATAATTACATAATTATTCGTTCATTCATTGATTCTGTTCGCAGTTTTAAGTTAGTTTTTGTGAATCTGTTATGTCCCAAGATGTAAGACCCACACGGTTTTCTTTTTGAGCTTATCTCAGGATGAGAGATGCAAATGGATAATTTAATTACTTTCTATATTAAGTGTGAATGTTTTATTTGCTAAACGCTGTTACTTTTTGTTACAAACTATTCTCTATGATATTTCATGCTGATTTATAATGTTTCAATTGTATCCTATTTGAATGCTTTGGATAATATTCTTAACTTCATATTAACCTTTTATTTTATTATTAACATTTTATATGTAAAATTTAGAGAAAATTTTGTACATTCTCACAATGTTCCAAGAAGGAAAAGGGAAAGAATTAACATCTGGTTCTCCAGGATTTTATTCTTGTTCTTAGGGGACATCTGAAAAAGATTGAACCCAAAGAGGAAGTATGTTTATAAAAAGACTTAACTGCTTGAGAAATCTACACTTAGTTCCAATTGATAAACATTACAATTGAAATGCAGACAGCTCTATCCTCATTGTGCAATGTCAATAATTAATTAGTAATTAATTAATTAATTAATTAACCACAAGTAATTAAATAATTAATTCCAAACCTCAATGCAGATTACAAATTTTTGCTATTGAGGAGGATTTTTTTATTTTTGAGATATTTGAAAAAATTAGCGGATAAACCTAGAGAAAAGAATATGTTTCATTTCCATTATGTATCATTGTATTGGATTTAATGATTTTTTAAAATAAAGAGTATAAAGCTTCCTTCATGAAAAAGCAAATTAAAATAAAAAATTGTATGTTTAATTTTAAACGAATAAAGAGTTGAAAAGTATACTATTTATAAATTATCTGCATACCTAGACGTGCATTTCTGAAAGTTCTGCCCAATAAGCAGAGGAAGGTTGGACCCAGAACTGAACCTTCTATAGGTAATTCAGAAAGTGCCCCAGTTACCAAATCCACGTCTTCCACCTTGCTGAAAAAATTAACAAATATATCGAATATCGAATAAATCAACAAAATAAAAATAAATGAAAATTATTATATATGCACATATGTTGTGCACCCCCACAGCAACGAAAAATTTCTGAAAATTTATTAAATAATTACTTCAACTGTTTGAAATATTTGAAACAATGTTTAGTGAACGGATTTGAATGTCCGCATTAAATAAATGTTTAGTGTAAAAGTAATCTGAACGTAACAATTTTTAAAATTTGTGTCTAAATCGATTTACGTGAAAATGTAATTTAAATGCTCAAGCAAATTTCACACTAAACATTTATTTAATCGGTGCATTTAAATAATCTTTCAGCTCATTGATACCAAAAACTCAATTTTTTCAAAACAGTTGTTTATGTATCTTTCTCCTTTGGACGGCAGTGGGGGGTCATGTTATTTAGTGTTCACAAGTTCCATATACTGTACTAAGGAAATACGTGACCACTGAATTGACTGAATTGAAGTGACCACATGTTCTCAACAGTAGTTTTATAAGTTAGTATATATAAGATAATAAACTGTCGTGCGCACCTATAAACTCGTTGTAATCTATCAATAGTTTCTAATAACATTGTTCCTTTAAGATCGAAGAACTCATCGACATTTGGAAGATCGCAGAATGATCTCCATTTGGTATAAGATGCCAAGCCATGATCTCTGCCTTGTTGAATCATTTGAGCAGCATAGTCAACAGCAACATCATTTGTCTTTCCATCGTGAAAATATCGATCCAAAAGAATCTCATTTATTCCTGGCGGAAATGGCTTTCTGGAATGTCCCGCTGTCATGGAATTTACAAATTATCATTAAAGAAGATCTAATGACTTTTAGAAAATTTGCTTTTGGAAAATGTAAATTACATTTCTTAAGGGGGTAAGGTTAATATGGTGAAAAAATTTATATTTTTAATAATTTTTTTTGGTGATACAGAAAGAGTTAATTTATATTATCCGTTTTCATATGATACTGCAACTTTTGAACAATATTTTTCTAAATTTTTATGTCAAAATATTAGAACTTGAGCGATTGAATGTGAATCTTCTCAAGCACCCTCAAAAAAATAGTTTTGCGGTGTACACTATAACTCACAACAGAATAATATAAAATAAAAAAAATGTTTGTTGAGGTTACCCTGGGAAAGGCTTAATCCATTAAAGAATATTAAATAGATTCTGTTCTCAGGACATCACAGTGCATTTACTTACCAGTTGCTCCAGCGATTAATCGATCAATTGCTCCAGCCTCGTAAAGCTCTTGTGGTGCATAAAAAGCAGAAAGAAGCGATCGTTCACCGGACTTCTGAGCAGATCGTGAGTCAACAAGATCAAGAGTCTTTGGTGTCAATGCAACAAAAAATGAAAATCCTGCCGAAGAAGCTGCATTCGTCATTGTGCCGTCCACGCGAAAATCATATCCACGAAAGTATCCTCCTGGAGTTAAACGCAAGTCGAATCTTCAAACAGCCGGACAAACGGAAAAATTCTTTTTAAATTTGAATTTTTTCTCTTAAAAAATTAGAGTAATTTAAATTATAATAATGTTTCCTATATGTATTTTCGTTAAATTGTTGCATGCAAGTTTGAAATATTTCATTGTAATATTAAAGCAATATTTTCTAACATTGTTTCAATGCCAACATGGAGTATTACCTGAATAGCCAATTAAACTTTATTATATGAATATTTAAAGATTATTTCTAATTTTACCCTGCAATTGCTTTCCTGTGAAAGAGTTCCAGGGAACGAAACCGAAAATTTGACAGAAGTGCCTGTATGACTTTTTCAGTTTTTATTCCCATTTCATTCCTGAGAATTTCTCGGATTCATTCCCGGGAACTTTTCCGCACATGGATACTGTTAATTTAATGTTTTATTAATACTCATACATTTAGTATAAAATTGTTTTTCTAAACTGAACATTATTAGAATAAACAAAATTAATTAATTATTAATTTATTTGATTAAGTTTAACATAAAATCTGACTCACTTATCTAGAAGACTCTCGCCCATGATGACAGGAAGAAATTCATTGTAAGTCACATGTTGCATTTCGGCAATGACAATTTTTCTCGTTTCCTGATAAAGTTTCTCATCGTCCCAATGTGGATTAATTTTTTCAAGTTTCTGTGCTATTCGATTGTGCTCACGAAGAAAAAGAACGTGCATTAATGCCAATCCAGGATGCTCATTAATTCTTGAATCACCGCTGAAAAAACATGGTAAGGCTTTACTTTGACTTCGACAATTTAATGAGTCCTTCGATGCCATTGGTAAATTTTTTCTCTGCGTATTCAATAATCCCCCAGTTCTTGCTCTAAGGACATTCGAAGTCTCCTCTGAGCTTCCATAAATTGTTGATAAATCAAGATAAGACGACGCTTGATTTATCTGTTGCCTTGGTCCTAATTTACATCCCTAAAATTTAAATAAATAGAAAACAAACTATTTTTCTTAAATAAAATGAACATTAAATAATAGTTTAAAGGTAATAATAATTCAAGAAAATAATAATTTTTATACAATAAAGAATTGTTTATAAATAAAATTCATAGAAAAATGAATGTGGTTTCTATTTGTGTTGGTTTCTTTTCACAATCTATATCTAAGTTTATGACTGACTGATTATTGTAATTTTTCATTTATAAGTTTAGGTACTTTATACGAAAGGTCAGATTTGTACCCCTTTAAAATATATAAATAAATAAAGAATACTTTATTTTATAAATTAAAATTTAGAAAATTAATCTTACTCTCTAAATCTAAATATGTGAAAATTCACATATTTGTACGTTATAAGTCGTCCTCTCGATCAATAAGTGCATATACACTTATAATAAGTGAAATTTCACTCAGAATAAGTGAAAAATTCACTTATTTATAAGTGTATATGCACTTATTGATCGAGAGGACGACTTATAACGTACAATAAGTGAAATTTCACATATTCAGATTTAGAGAGTATGATACTAACTTGATTAATAAAAATAATAAAGTGAGGATGAAAATGTAAATAAATTTTTAAAAAACTAATTAATGTCTAATAAATGTAGTAATATGGCATCATGTCAATTACAAATTCTACAATAAATGTTCATAAATAAATAAGTGTGGAATTAATCAAAAAAAATACACTATACAATAATTTCCTGGTACATTGAGAAAGTTTGATAAGGATCAATAGGATAAGATGTTTGTAATAACAAATGTCGCAAGATTTACAGCTTGCGTTTAGGATAACATCTGATTGATTAGCAATACGGTACATCTTTGCCACTTGAATATTAACGTTAATTATATAGTCAATGATTATTATCGACAGCCGACGATGATTTATATTTACATTCAAGCTGCTATCAAAATTCAGTTTCAGTAAAATAATAAAGTCATTTTATGACCCCTCTATTAATTAGTGGATTTTATATATGAAATTCGATTTTCTGACTTAAACCGTCAGTAAATATGAAAAAGTTTAAAGAGTTTATAATTTACTTACTTGAACACTATTACCTTTTTTATTTAACTATAACACTTTCTCTATTATTATTAATAAGGTACAAAATAAAATTGTTTGAATGAATAAAATATAACAAAACCGTTAAATGAAAATTGAATTTTACTCAAGGAAATAAAATTTAAATTCCAAGATCAATGGGGAGAAAATAATTGAAAAAAGTCAATATAATAAATGTTGAGTTAAATAAATATTATTAATCAACATTCCTTCCTGAAAGCATTTAATCGAATATATAAAATTTATGATTCTCCTTGAGTAAGATATGCATATACTATTATTTATATATCGTGTGTAATTAAACTCATGTACTTCCGAAAGTCTCACCTCAAGCGTACTTCCTGGATGAGGAGCTGACCTGGTATATTCCATGCATCCAATTGCATTTTCAGCCTGGATTGGAAAGCATTCCGGATGGAAATTCTCGAATTCAACATCGCAACATTTCAGTCTCTCGCCATTCGGCAGCTCCATTCGTGGAGTGTGTGCCAAGTCATGGGCAATAAATTGGCCAAACATGGCTGTGAGTGCCATGAGATAAGGATGCTTCAGATCGGGCCCACCCGAATGCACTTTAGTAGAAACTTCCCGGGCACTGGGGAGGTGTGATTTTGGTAGAGACACACCGTCCTCGTACTCTGGAGCCAGGAATCTTGTATAGGATTCAAGAGCACCACCCCAAGAAGGATGCAGGGCATTGTTGCATCTTCCTGTGTGTGTTCTATAGCTGGGATCAACTTTTTTACATTCCGCGACCATGCGTAAACTATTCGCCACGTTTCCACTACATACATTGATTCCCACCTGTAATAGAAAATATAAAATGCTGATTTCAAGTTTGATTCAAGACTCGTTCAATCTTTATGAATGAAACTTGAACATCCCATTCTGATTCAAGCTTGAATCTATTAAAAGACACTATTCAGTTTATTTATTGCTCTGACTTTAATTAAATTTATAGAACTAAACTTTTGGATGTGTAATTTAAACATAAATAATAATTTCAAATTTATAAGACAAAATCATATGTTTAATTTTTGAAAAAAAATTTAATTTATTAATGGTTGAATGTTATTTACACTGCAAAAACAAGTGTCTCAATGTAAGACGTAATTCGAGAGATAAAGGCAAGCTTTCTGAAAAGATTCCCATTTACGTAAAAAAATTTTTTTCCAAATAGTTACGTCAGAAAAAAAAATTTTATCAAAATATATCACTTTTTAGAAAAAATGTTTTTTTTACTTGTTTCAGATAAAAATTGAAATGCCAATCATGTACACCATAAATGAATGTAGTGCTGCACGGGAATGCGTGCGTATCTCCACTATTTTTAATTTTTTTCAAAAACTGTTTCGTATTTACATATATCTTAACAATATGTGTTGAAAAAACAATAAGAATAAAAATGTCTTATCTTAAATATGTCAGTTACCATATTTTTGGCCCAAGAAAGCAAAAATAAAATTAGTAAAAAATCAGGGAAAAGTCAGAAAATTCTTTTCCCAATCCATGTTAAACACCCTGATTAATAATAATTAAAAAAATATATTTTTAAATAATATTAAATTAGATTGATTTGTATTACAGAAATAAATAATGAAAAGTTAAAAATGTACAGACGTATTAAATTATAAAATAAAAATATAAAATCATTCTGAAACATATAGGTTCAGGGTTGTCAGAGGTCAGGGAAATCAGGGGAAAGTAAAATTGGTCAGGGAAAAGTCAGGGATTTTTATTTAAGTAATTGGAAAAAATTGAATTTTGGAGAAGTTACAAATGATTGCAGAAATTCAATTATTTTCAAATGCAATAAAATTCTTCGCAAAAATTCAATTATGTTCAAAAATTTAAAAAAAATTCCGTCATAATTCAATTATCCTTAAAAATAATAAAATTCTTCTCCAAATTTCAATTATCTTTAAAAATAATAAAATTCTCCTCCAAATTTCAATTATTTTCAAAAATTTTAATAAAATTCTTTGCAAAATTTCAATTAATTTTCAAAAAATTTTTCTCAATTCAATGACTTTCAACAACTACAGTTTTAATAAAAAGTTTTCAAAAGAATTCAATTATTTAAAAAAAAAATTTTGATAAAATTCTAAGCAAACTTCGCAATAATTCAATTATTTTCATAAATAATAACACTTTTTACAAAAATTCAATTATTTTCATGAATAATAAAATTCATCATATAGAATTTCAATTGTTTTTAATACAATTTTAATTGAATTCCTCGAAAAATTAATTATTCTTGAAAATTTTATTAAAATTTCTCGAAAAAATTCAAATTTGTTGATAAAATTCTTTACGATAATTTAGTTTCGAAAAACATTCATTTATTCCATAAATTATTTATTTTTGAATTTAAATAATTGAATTCTTGTAGAATTTTCCAATAAAAATTGATTTAAAAATGAATATTAGTTAAAATTTTAGATGATAATTGAATATTAAAAGCATTATAGCATGAATTTTTAAAAATAATTGAATGGAAATCGACGAATTTTAACAAAATTTTTGAAAATAGTGACATTTTTCGAAGAATTTACTTTAAATTGTATTAAAAACAATTTAAATCCTGTGAAGAATTTTATTAATTTATGAAAGTAATTGAATTCTTGCAATGAATTTTTTCAAATTTTTTTTAAATAATTGAAATAATGTAAAGAATCTTATTATTTATGAAAATAATTGAATTCTTGCATCGAATTTTATTACATTTTTTTAAATAATTAAATTCTTTTGAGAACTTTTATTAAAAAAGTATATTGTGAAAACATTTAAATTTCAACGAACAATTTCATTATATTCGTGAAATGTAATTAAATTCTTACAAAAAATTTAAGAGAATAATTCCATTTTTCTAGGAATTTACTTTAAATTGTATTATAAATAATTGAAATCCTCAGAAAAATTTTATAATTTTATGAAAATAATGTAATTCTTACAACGAATTTTATCAATTTTTTTTAAATAATTGAATTCATGTGAAAATTTTATTACTTGTAAAAATAATTGAATTTATGCAACGAATTTTCTTACATTTTATTTAAATAATTATATTCTTTTGAAAACTTGTATTAAAAATGTAAATTTTGAAAAATTTTGAATTTCAGCGAAGAATTTCATTATTTGTGAAATGTACCTAATTTAATTCTTGCAAAAAATTGTTGAAGATAATTTTATTTTTCGAGAAATTTATCTAAAATTGTATTAAAAATAATTCAAACCATGTGAAGAATTTTATTATTTATGAAAATTATTGAATTCTTGCTTAGAATTTTATTATAATTTTTGTAAATAATTTAATTTTTTTTTGATAAATTTTATGGAAATTAAAACTTTTATAAAACATGAAGACATTAATCACTCCGAGTCTTCGACTCGGAGTAATTAATATCTTCATGTTTTATAATAAAATTCTTATAAGTTGTTTAATTTTAAAAATGTTTGAATTTGAATGTTTTGAAGAATTTTAATCCTATGGAAAAATAATAATTAAATACTTTTTTAAAAATTTAGTTATTGATGTTTTCGAATAATTTTACAATTTAAGAAATTCGTATGTAAATGTAATAGAATGTTTTTTTGAGTATCTAATAATTTTTAGAGTGATTTAGAATATTCTTTATGGTCAGGGAAAAACTGGAAATTTTGTCTGGAAATTAGGGAAAAGTCAGGGAAAAGTAAAATTCAATATTTGTGGCAAGGCAACCCTGAGGTAGCAGAAAATAACATTTCCATCTTGAGTAGTAAAAGAAATGAAGATATTCAAGTTGAAGGTTGCATAAAGATTTTAGTAGTTACTGTAGAGAAAGTGAATGAAACAATGAAATTAAATGTCAAAGACTTTCATTGGAAATCGTTCGAGTTATGATATTAAAAAATCATTCAAGTATAAAGTAAATCGGATTGTTATTATTATTATTTTCTATATTTAAAGTTCAAAGAATTCACATGTGAAATAAAAAAAAACCTACAAGATTTATTAATTATTTCTGTTGTTATTATTAAGATTGTAAAAATTATTATCAGTTTGAGTAATAGATTATATAATTTTTATGATAAATGGAATTATAATGCTGCAAATCAATTCATAATTTAACTGCTTATTGCAGCAAAAATACTTTGATTTAACTTTAGTATCTCAGCAATTGCCGCGAATTGTTAAATATGCATCTTTAATTACATCTGACATAAATATTTCAATAATTATTTGTTTTGAAATACTTTTATAAAAATGTACCTGAATATAGTATAATATATATACATCTTTATTGTTGATTTATTACTCAATGTTTGTTACACAATGGATTTTTAATATGCTAATATACTGTTTTTGTCAATGTGTAGATACGTTCACAAAAAAGTCTCAGTTTGTCCATTTCATTTTAAAAGATATTTGAAATTTTTTAGATAAAGTATATCCTACTTTAAATTATTAATTATGCGTTTACGATAACTTTGCTGCAACTAAAACTACTAGTAATCTTAGTTTTAATTAACACAAAGAATTTTTATAGTTAATTTTGTTTTTAAAAATATTTATAATAAATATATTTATTTAAAAAATGAATACCGAAGGAAGAAGAGTTACAGCATCCTCAGGAGTCATTTTGAGTAATTCAACGAGCATCAATGCCATGGTCTCCATCCTAAGGGCTCTCTTTGAAAGATTCTGGGAAGCTGGACTCATCTCGTGGGAAGCAGCCAGGTACCACGACGGTGAACCTTGAGTCAAGTGAATTCGAGAATCGATAATTGCCTGTTCTTGTTGGTAATATTTTTCCATCGATGCGTTGGCCCTTCGACCAAGATCCTGCACCATTCTGGTTGGTAAAATTGTACATTGCGCGAATGCAAATAGGCCTAAGAACCTGTATACGCGAAGAAAGAAAAAATAAGAAGCATAAGAATCTTGAGAATTTTAGATATATTTTTATTAATTTATTTCCAAACAGGTTTATCAAATTCATAAAAAAATTTGGTTTAATTTTAATTGTATTTTAAGGCAATCATTAGCATCTTAAAATTGAAAATCAACAATAAAACTGAGTTACGAGCTTTTTTAAAAAAATGCAGCTATTTTCGAACAGTTTTTAAAATTTTAACAAAATTCCTGTTTGCAATTTTTTTTGCTATTGATAAGAATGTTTTTGTATAGCAAAATCTCATTCCATCATAAAAAAAATCCTTCTTTAGAGTTTACATGAAATTCATACTACTAATATTAGAAAACACCATATAAAAACTATTGATATTGAGATTATAAATCTTATATTTCAGACTGATTTGCATACACGCGCCGCACCTGCCACAACATCACGTCAGTGTTCATGTAGTGTTTCCCAAGGTTCTATATCACGATTGTTATTTTCCCCCCTTTTAATACAAATGACACTCCATCCATTTTCGCCTCTTAAACAAACCACTACCTGTTCTACTCTCACGAGTGCTAATTTCGATTCAATCATTTCAATAAATCAATCCGTCCGCTACACTATTTATATCTCTTTACAGGTACATGGTCGAATTACTAAACACAGAAGAAAAGTGGTGTTGTTTTTGTTGCCTGTTATTTTAACATAGTGGTTAATGAGCATATAGACAGTGGCGCCCTTAAATGGTGTAAAATCTATTGCTTATTAATTTAACAACACTCTTGATGTTGAAATAAGAATCACGCCCGTGCTCCAAGCTTTCTACAGTCCTTATTAATAAAATCAGACTTTTGTCTATATATGAGGCATTCCATGTCAAGTGATCCAGGTGTCTTACGGTGTAATGCTTATTTCGATAATTTTTTACTCTTAAACTATTAAACATAAAAATTTGGCAAGGTACATTTTGGAAAGGTTTTTTCATGCTCTTTCGATTGAAAATAAGCATTTAAAAAAAAAAATTTTTTTGACCCAAAAAAATCAAAATTAAAAATAAATTTTAATTTTTTGGAAAAAAGGTCCCATTTTTTTTTTTTTTTTTTTTTTTTAAACGAAAGCTGAGGTTTTTTCCTAAAAGGACATATAAATGAAAAAGTGGGACAAGAATGTTTAAACATTGAAAAACAGAGGTTTCTACTCTCTAAACCCGGTTTTTAGCTCTGTTTACGAGAAAATTCATTTTTTCAATGTTTAAACATTCTTGTCCCACTTTTTCATTTATATGTCCTTTTAGGAAAAAACCTCAGCTTTCGTTTAAAAAAAAAAAAAAAAAAAAAAAATGGGACCTTTTTTCCAAAAAATTAAAATTTATTTTTAATTTTGATTTTTTTGGGTCAAAAAAAATTTTTTTTTTTAAATGCTTATTTTCAATCGAAAGAGCATGAAAAAACCTTTCCAAAATGTACCTTGCCAAATTTTTATGTTTAATAGTTTAAGAGTAAAAAATTATCGAAATAAGCATTGTACTGAAAAACCCAAAAATTTAACCCCCTCCCCCTCGGAAAATATTGGACTAGGTAAAAAAATATTTTCACGAAAAATTACTACCTATTAGTACTACAAAAGCCCCAAGTTTTGCTACGATTGGAGAAAAATTTTTCTCCACCTGGATCACTTGACATGGAATGCCTCATATATACATTACACAGAATTCAAAATTTCTATTATATTATTTATTTTTACACTCTAGAAGATTCAAAAATGTTATCAAGAAAATTATGTATGTATGTGTGTCCGCAAAATTTTGACCGCGCATCACTCAAAAACGGTTTTGACCGATAGAAGTGAAACTTGACAGTCAATTAGGCATTATCCCCGAGAAACTCAGGCAGTAGATTTATTATTAAAACTTGTTACTCGGGGGTTTTTGGGATCGTTGATTATGAATCTAAAGTCAGATTTTCAAAATTCAAAATGGCAACCCTGGAAAAAATGTATTTTATATCTTATACAGGCCTCGAACTAGGTCCGTAAATCCCGTAAAAGTCCGTAACTTTGCTTGAAGTCCGTAAAAGTCCGTTTTTTTGAAAAAAGGTTCGTAAAGTCCGTAATTCGATTGAAAAAGGTCCGTAAAGTACGTAAGTTATACGATATAATTCGGATAATTTTAGAGAAATTACAAATGATTGAAGGAATTCAATTATTTTTAAAAGTAATAAAATTCTTCGCAAAAATTCAATTATGTTCAAAAATTTTTTTAAATTCTCGTCAAAATTTTAGAGATAATTAAATTCTTCTCCGCAATATCAATTATTTTCAAAAATTTTAATAAAATTCTTGGAAAAATTTCAATTATTTTCAAAAATTTTCCCTAATTTAATTATTTTTAATATCTACTATTTTAATAAAATTTTGCAAAAGAATTCAAATTATTTGAAAATTGATAGATACAATTCTTTAAAAAAATTCAATTTTAAGAAACATATGTGACTGTCCACGAGAAAACAGGGCTTAGGCCCAAAAAATAAATTTTGAGTTTTTTATGGTAATCGACAGATTTTATGTTGCTTTTTCAAATGCAAAAGTCAAAAGTTAAAAATATCAACTACTTTCGACAATATATCGTTTTAAAGATGGGTATTTCAAGCGTAGTTAACTTCAATCGTAGTACTTCAATCGCTCGCCCTGTGAAATTCACGTTTGGGAGCTAAGCCCTGTTTTCTCGTGGACAGTCACATATGTAAATATTCAATAAATTTTCAATAAATTGTTTTTTTTGTATTTAAATAATGAAATTCTCGTAGAATTTTCTTATAAAAATTGATTTATAAATGGATTTCAGTTAAAATTTTAGATTATAATTGAATATTAAAAGTATTAGAGCGTAAAGTTTTAGAAATAATTAAATTTTGAAAAGGTTTCAGATACAAATCTTTGAAAATTTGAATTTTTCATATTTTTAACTAACAATTCTGTGGAATTAATTTTTTTTTTGAAAAAGTTTAATTGCTGATTTTTTTATATTATTTAAAGTTTTTATTTTCTAATAATTTTTTAATTTTAAAGAATTTGCGAATAATTGAAATTTTATAAAATTAAATATTGTAAACAAATGGATTTGAAAATTGTCAAAGAACTTTTTCGAAAATTATTAAAAATAATCGATTTTCAGAAGAATTTTAGTTAAAAATTCTTGAAAATAATAATTGAATTGATAATGATTTTATCACTCTATCTTTAATTATTATAAAACCTGAAGTAATCGATTGCTTATCGATATCTTCATGTTATTTAGTTATGAAAAAATCTAATTTATAGTTTTAAGAAAAATGTAATCTTATATATTTTTGTCAGTAATTGGTCCGTAAATGGTCCGTAATTTTTCATTTTTGGTCCGTAAAGTCCGTATTTTTAAATACTTTCACTGGTTCGAGCTCTGCTTATAGTATATAGTTACGTTGGTGATTAAAAAAGCTATATTAATTGTTTATTGGTTTAAAATTATAAGAGTTTTATTAAATTTTCTAAGTGGTACATATACCAGAGGCATGAAAATGTTAAATTTGGCACTGGGTTAATTTTGATGTTTTTTATTAGAATTTTGTCGTCAGAATAATGAAATTATGAATTATGAATTACAAATGTCGGATTAAAATATTTAATGGTTAAAAATCAGAAAGTCAAAAATCATAATTTTTTGCATTTAACTTTAATTTGGGTGAATTTATTGGAGCGCCCCATGTTGGACATGGTTTTGATTTAATGTTCTAGAATCCAAACCCAATAAGATATATGTTAAATTAAAATACACTGAATGAAAGTATAATACAGGTATTAGGTATCTTTTGACCAAAGAAAAAACTTTTTATTGTCAACACACAAATTTTTTAAAATATTTTTTCCAATTATCGAAATTTTCTATTTAAAAAAATGGCCCTTAGATAGACACTTAGATATTCTAAATAATCTCAAAAAAATCTCACAAAACTATTAAAAATTGTGTATAATCGAAAACAAAAGTAAATATAAGAATATAAAAAACAAAGTCTGAAACCATTTACAGCTTAGAAAAGAATAAATGAAAAGTAGCCTATTTTTATGGTTAAATGACACAATTTTTTAAGCCCCAGAAAAAATTTGTATTCAAACAAAATATCGACAAAATCATTCTAGAATATTATTGTACAATACGTAAATAGTATTTTAACGATAAATACCTATTGAAAATAAAAATTTAAATAACTGTTACCTAATTAAATAGAAATTGTAGGAAAACTTCATGGGACACAAATTTCAGGAGGTGTGTGCAGAACATAAACAAATTTTTTTTTTCCTTCAAATGTGCATTAAAAACTTCGTCTATACTAACAACAAAAAGCATAAGGTGCTGCTACTTTATACAAAAATTTTAAACGAAATTTCCATCTTGAGACCCTCTACCCTAGGTACACAATAAAGATTTTTTAATTAAAATCGTAAATTTACTTCCCTAGAAAATATTTTATTAGTAGAAAATTTGGCACTATTTCAAAAATGTTAAATATTAAAAAATTTTGAAATTTATCTCTTTTTGATAGTTTTATATATCCTCTGGATATCCTTTTGTTGTGAGGGTGGCTCTTATGGTTATTGGCTTCATTATCAGAAACTCTAGTTTATTTATTAAAAAACTATTAGTTATTTTAGGTGATTTTTTTTCTTTGAATAATTAAATTGCTGTTATTCGAACTGTAAATCATTTGATCCGAACTTCCGTTTATCAGAACTTTTTCGTCATCTTAAACACAAAGTAAATTAATTTTTACGTCTATTGGTACAAAAATCTCATAAAAATAAAGAAATTTTATTGACTTTCGATTATCCGAACCAGATCCTGTCTAAATTAGTTCGGATAATCGAGGTTCCACGGTATTCTCTTTTAGAATTCAATTGAGAAATTTTCTCAAAAATTATTAAAAACCCACTGACAAGTTTTTTCAAAATTTCGATTTTTAAAATGTTAATAACTTTTGATAATATGAACGAAAAGTGTTTAAAGTCAAAAGAAACGTCTTAACCCTCTCATATACCCTTGGGAAACTCAGCCAGTGGATTTTACTGAAACTAGTTATACCCGGGGGTTTTTTTGGGTCGCTGATTACAAATCTAAAGTCAGATTTTCATAATTTTCAAAATTCAAAATGGCGGACATTTTTTTCAAAATTGCTCAAATTTGCATAATTTATTTATGATTATATAGGTTATCATAAAAGTATAACCATTTTTGGTTTTGCAACCATTTTTTTGGCCTACAAATATTTTCAAAAATCGAAGTACCGAAAACGGGTATTTTTTCCAGTAGGACTAAAAATGTCATTTTAAATCTAATCACCGATATACGACAATATTAAAATAGTAAATTCGTGGCACAGAATTAATATTATTTGCAATAACCATTCAAATGTTATTTATTTTCTAAAACTATGAGAACAAAAAAAGTCAAAGTACCCGAAATGATTCAGCATGCGCTTAAAGGTAATTTCAAATGAGAAGTTGGTATTTATTTTAAAAATATGTGGCAACACAAATAAGCCGAGTTAGAGGTATATATATATATATATAAATACATTCTCTAGGTGGAAGAACGAAGACCTTGTCTTGTAAGAGATGACATTTCGCTTGTACTCGATCCGCTTGGGATTAATATTATAATAACTCACGCGATGGCTCATTCTTTATGGTTATTTGCTAATTTCATTCATTGTTCATACGCGTAAAGTATGTGGTCGAATTTTCTGCATACAGCTTAAACGATATTAATGTTTCAGATAATAGGCCTTTATGACCTTTGACCTCTAATTTATTGTTGGGAGAATAAGAGAGGACTCTATGGAGCCTACTGAACAGATCCAATCTGACATTTAGGATTCGCTCTTCCTGGTTAACTCGAGACTCCTTTACGTAATCAGCGTGACCTACACGACCTCTTCGTTCACCTTATCCGTCAATGCAAAATGGTTCACAGTAATTG